TTTTTGTTCATTAGAAATTATTTTTTATAGAAAGAGATTGTACAGTTTTCAAAGATTAAAGAGTGTGCTTTGAAGAAGGATAATACAATTAACAAATATACAAAAAAACAATTAAACGATAGTGTTTTTAAGAAGCCATTACTGCCTAAGAAGAATATCAAAAGACTTCCAAAACCGGAAAAATTAGCGCATTGGTATGACAACCAACATGATTTTGGTATGTGAATAGTTATTGTTATTTGTAGAAAGACAATTTATAACTTAAAACTAATATGCTATTAATATTTTATAATAAAATTCTCTAATAAATTAATTTTTTTATATAGATTATGGATACATTGAAGTTGTTGAAAAAGAATTTAAAGATCTATTCTCCAAGGAGAAAGAGAACATAAAGCCTTGTGAAGACAACATACTATCAGGTATGAAGGTTAGTTTTATGTAATATTTATAAGATAGTTTACTCTTATCAACTATTTATTTTTTCTAGATCCAGAAATTTTGCTCTTGCCAGATATCATGAAGCTTACTCCTGATAAAACTCTCGACGAAGAACACGAGAAATATTTATCTCCTAACTTACTCGAAGTATCTGACATATCTGATGACGAAAATCTAAATAATGATAATTAATAATAAGAATTTTAATATTATAATTTCATAATTTCTTTTATAAGAATAGACTGACTTAGTATTATAATAATTTATTTTCTATGATTAGTATATATTTTTATAATGTCTCCTCGAACCTATAACAAATGTTATTAGAACACTATAATAATTAAAAACTCGTTAAGTTAGATCAATAAAAAAAATTCAACATAAAATGTAGTTGTATAACAAAGTTAACATACAATTTATGTGCTTTTTGATCCTTTATGTTACACAGTCTGTCTCTCAGAGATTTTAATTTTCTAAGCGTTCTTTTATTTTTATTAATACAGTATATATCAGTATATTATTTTTAAGTACGGTATCTTAAAACAATTAAATTGTAAATTTATATTTGAATAAATAATGTAAATTTTATAAATTTCACTTTTAAATGCTATTTTTTTATTTTAGCTTCATCTATTGGACAATGGCTTCGTTTAATAAAAAGTTTATTTTGCAACTATTGAAATTTTTCTTTACTGAAAAAGGACTAAGTCTAAAAATACCTATCCAATTAGCGTGAAAAAACAATTGAAAAATAAACGTGCTGCTGAACGCGGCTAATGTAATCACCTGTGAATGTAACATATATATATATGAGATAATATATCAGTCTTCGACTATTAAAAATGTCGAACAAATATTTTATCGTGATAGCAGAAAGTGAAGATAATTTATCATTTTTATTTTGTATGCTTCATTGTTATAAAGTTGCTGTTAAAGTTATTGCCAAATTTTCATTTAAATAAAATTTGTCAAGAATGGAAGGTAAAAAAATATCAACATGAAATAAAGTCCATAACAGTTGAAGCTAGATCTTTAGTGCTTAAATAATTCGATGTGAATTTATATGATGCTAAATACACGCGCTGTAAAAAAAAATGATATAAAAATTAGGGCCAATTTGCAGCTGTCGGTAAAATCAAATACATGTAAATAATGTTTATTGCGAAAAATATTATTTCAACTGGGAATCGAATCCGGATTTCTTGCATTCCATGCGAGTATTATCTTAAACTTTTAGATCGAGTCTTACAAATTTAAAGCTTCATTCTAATACATAAACCTAATCATTTTCATAATAACAATGCAAGAGAAATTAAAACATACATTACATCCTATATTTAATTTTAACTCGAACGTATTATTCGCCCACAGTATGAAACTCACAGATTAAAACACAATCATCCAGGATATCATCGAAGAGTGAGTTTAACACAAAATGACTATATTTTTTATTTAAAATTAGTTTATGTGGTACATTTATATACATAAAAAATTTATGACTATTACATTAAACTTATACAATATAGACAATATATTCGTGCAAGTATGTATGTGTATGTGTCAGTGTATGTGCGCGCGCGCGAGGAAGTGTGTGCGTATGCGCTAACGTAATAATAGAGCTCTATATTAAAATTCACATTTATACTCGGTGTTTGAATAAAAACTTAATAGTCATTTACATCTAATTTGTATCATAACTTGCCATGGGTGGTAATACCGGAATGTCGTAAGTTTTTGCTTTTTCTTTCGTTTCAAACGAAATTTGCGCAAAACGTTCAATCATTCAGATTCTATCCAAGCGACACAAAACTTTAAAATTTATATTTATACTATGCATGATGATAAAACGTAACAATTTGTATTTTGCCTTATAGAAAAAAATTTGTATTTCACCTTACAGAAAACCTTGAAAAGACCTTATTGTTTATCAAATAAATTTTTAGGTAGTATTTAGTATTAAATATGAGATTATGAATAAAAGATTATTAGTTCAAACAATGTTTAAAACATTACGTCTTATATTAATATTCTATATTTGGCATTGAATGCGTTTGATCAACAAGTACATTTGTAATCTTTATACGATACAAAATTCAAAATCTTTTTAGATGCTTTTAGCAGGATATATTTTACAAATATATATATTTTTTCGAAAGTTTTGGTTGCTTGGGTACGATCATGTAATAATAATCTATGACAAAATGAAGCATATTTGGAGGGTAATAGGAATATCGCGAATGAACGCGAGGATGTGATTAATCAGGATGTGATGTCCGTAGGCCCGTGATGAGAATACGCAATATCCTTCTGTAAACTTCGAAAAGAGTTTACCGTGACTGAGAATGAACTACGTATATCCTTCACTTCGAACGACACAACAATCACGGGGTAACAGTATCGCCGATAATAGATTTACTCTTAAATTATAAACAATTAGATATACACGCATGTCTAAAGTTATCTTTCGATAATGTTACAATAGCGTGGATTGTTGTTTCAACTTAATGACAGATTGGTGTGCCTACGAATTGTCATAATGTTCTCTTTTCCCTCCTTTTTTTTATACTCTCATTAATTAACTTACTGTATACACACATAGGCTGAACTCTTTATACTTAATATACATCAAGTCAATTTTACACATTTCTTCAGTGAATTCTTCCGTTTTATCGGACAAACATTTAACAGACACTTGAGATTCTTGCGGTACACGCAAATATACAATGTACATACATATATCGGTATATTTTTAATATATATATATACATACATATGTGTGTGTGTGTGTGTGTGTGTGTGTGTGTGTGTGTATGCGCGCGCACGCGTGCGTGTGTGTGTCACTATAGATGTAATTCTTTATTTCTTACATGATTAACAATATATAATATATGCATCCTCGTGTAATTCGTTTATCAATAAATTCTCCTTTTATAATCATTTTTGTTACTTTTTTAAATTCTTTTCTTCATAAAATGCATGACACAAAAATAAATGCTTATATTTGTAAATTATATTTACCTTCTTTCTATCTTTCTTACACACATATTCTCGCGACGTATACACTTAATAACCATATATAGCTTATTTTCTTCTTTTTACAAAATATCACAAAAATCACACCAGCCTTTGTTCGCAGCAAGAAACCATGTTGTTAAAATCTCGTTAAAACGATATTCTCGGTCCATTCTGCGCATCGCGCGCTTTCGCGTTTAAAAACATTAATATATATAATATTAACGGTATATCGATGCGATTGCACGTGCTCATGGGAACATATCATACCATATAATTGTCGTTGGCAGTGATTTGCACGTAACAGATAGACGAAAAATTCTAGCAAATATTTGCAAGAACTTCGAATTATGTATCATTAGAAATTTCGAAGAAAAATGCCCAACTGCAACGTCAATTACCATGCGTTTCTCATTTAAACATTTCTTAATCAATATGTAACTTAACAAATATTAATTTTGTCAATTTTATGTTTTATAAATAATCGTATGTAAATTAAAGTTTAATCAAATCAAATTATTTGAGTTGATGCAAGTTTGAATCAAATTTGTACGTACATATAAATATAATCGGATTTTGACAAAGTACGATTACAAATAAATCTATTCAATTCCAATTTGCAGCCAATTAATTTTTTCAATTATGAAAAAATTAACCCCTTCACATTTTACATTCATTGTAATGTATATCAAATTTAAAGAGACATTGAAATCCGTTGAAATTATTTAATTCTATAAGATCTGATGTACATAATAATGCTATTATGTCGGAAAAATAATCAAAATTTTGAAAAAATTTATTGTTAATATGAATTAATTATGTACACGAATAGAATAAAACAATTTTTTTTACATCGTCCTAATAAAATCATCATGTCTGAAGGGATTAAGGACTATCACTCCTTATTTAATAATAGCTGATCAATGATATTGGAACAATTTATATCATGGTATCTCTTAGCATTTTGGTATGGCAGGTATGTTCTGTCACGTTTAGTGTTTTTTATCACGTGCACGTGGTATCGCATATATACGTCGCATTTTATTCGCGCACACGATATAATATCGCCTTAGAATCTACAAACATCGATTTTTTCTTTTTTTCTTTTATTCTTTTTTCTTTAATATTATTAATAATTTTGTCGCCTAAGTCGCCTAAGTCGCATAAGTTGCCTCGATTCGAGATAAGTGTTCACGCACTGCGGAGCTATCGTCATCTCTGTATATCCGAATGAAGAACAAGAAAAGCAAATCGGACGACGAAACAATGAAAGCGCTAGTGACCAGCACGACGCGCGTGTTTTCACTGAGTGTAGGTCACACGTGTTGAAGGTGAAAAAAATAGGTCTCTATTTCTTTTCTACTGCATTTCTTATGTTGTTCAAGTTTCCTTTCTTTCTCTCCAATATAGAAAAAGAAGAAACTTGAACGATGCAAAGAGTTGAAAAGAAAACAGACCCAATATATCTATATAAACGCTACGGTCTTTTATAAATATAGTTGTCTAATCGTTCTTATTGCATGATCTCTTTTAGCGAGGCCTGACGTACGAAAATCTCTTGAATCCAGAGAACATTTTTACATGTTTCTTTTTATGTACATTAATTGAATAGTCTGATACCTCCAGGGAAAAATCTGTGTATGTAACTCGTCACTCGTGCATTATTTATTCAAAAAGAATCGCTCGAAGTTATACTAATGTGTCGGCTCCTTTCTTACAATTTTAACACATTTTATCAAACTGTTATTTTTAATAACTGTTATTTTTGGGGAAACTTCTTCAGATCGCCACGTAGAGAACTTCCATATATAAAATATAATTAATTTTTTTAAATCGTACAATATAGATATAGATATATATATATTTCTATTTATCAGAACTTTCTCTCTCTCTCTCTTTCTCTCTATCTCTCGATTTTATTCATTTTATGAAAGAGAAATGAGAAACAGCGAGCGTTCAGCGATTTAAACTTTAAACTACTATCTTGCCATTGAACTCGCCCTTTTAGAATCTTAATCTTCTCATTTAATAATTTACAGTAGAGATGTCCAATTAGTTTCTCTAAAGGATCAAATTTCAACTGTATCTCACGGTCATTTTATCTTTGAAAACTATCGAGTTCTTTGAACTAGTAATTTTCAAATGACATTTTCATTGCAGTTCAATCACAATGTTTATAC